AGGGATAATAACTTTGATTTACATGGCACCATTTCAACCTGCCCATGACCACTTAACAGAGTTAGGAAATGAGAATAAAAATAAAACAAATTGCATAATGTCAGATGAATAATACTCATGCACAAGTCCTCGTACCCTATGGTTTACTGTCCTGTAATTTTCTGTCCAGCTATGTGAACTAAGAAACCGCTCTCTTCGCTGTCTGTGTGTTAAGGGGATGACATCACGTCCATCCAGCAGGAGATTACCATGATGAAGGAGTGCAAGCACAAAAACATTGTGGCCTACTTCGGCAGCTACCACAGGTACTGCGTGTTTTCTGCATGTTCACTTCACATGTGGGGGATTCCTGGGACTGTTGGTGGACTTAAATATGTGGAATTTGACCATTATATTCCCCACACTGCTGCTGGATTCCTCTCCCACTCATTCCAGCGTTTAGTTAGACTTTTGTCCAAACAGCTTGTGAATGATACTACATGTTTCTACGGGAGTGAGGATTTAGCTTCAGAATATTAGGGAGTGCCGTCTTGTGAGTACTTTAATACTCAATACTCCCATGTTGCTCTTCACAGTCCCAGTAGAACTGCGTCTTAATCCCAGATGATAAGCAGAGAGCGTGTCAAATACCGAGATAACAGACATGTGTCTCTTTCCAGGAACACCAAGCTGTGGATCTGCATGGAGTACTGTGGAGGAGGGTCACTTCAGGATATTTACCATGGTACAAATACAAATATATGTGAACATTTGTGAGCATAGGTCTTGTATTGCAGCCAATTTAGTACCACCTGCAACATATAGACGATGTGTGTGTGTACTTGTGCAGATATCTTTGTGATTTTGAACCTTGACCTTATAGAGTGAAGACATTTTGGTCTGAACCACTTTCAGTGAGCTGTTTCAGAGTTCAGACTTATCCTTAGTGTTAGGTTTAGGTTTAGCCACTGAGTTGTGATGGTTAATGTTAGTGTAGGGGAATGTGTTATACCAATGAATGTCCTCACTAAGATACAAGTACAAGGTTTGTGTGTGTGTGTATGGGTGTGGGTGTGTGTGTACATGTCTGCTGTGTGTGTGTGTTTGTGGGAACTACATAAGCTGCCCATTGCCCTACGGGACTTAAACACCAAAGC